GGGGACCAGGCCCCCGCAGCAAGGTGTGACACGGGGGTGCAGCCCTGCCTTGCACCCGACTCTGGGCAAGGGGATGCACCTGGGACAGCCGTGGTTGGCCCTTGATGAGGGTTCACGCGTGGCTGGAGGCTCCCAACTGGGTTGTCCTCTGCTCAGCGGGTTTGGGATGACATGGCAGGGCATGACGGTGCCTCCCTGACCCGGGGGGCCAAGCCCATGTCCTGGGGGTCCCCCAGCGCCTTTGGCTGGTGCATCCTTCCCTGCACCTCTGCCCTGCCCCAGCCCTGCTGCCCGGTGTGAGCACGGTGGAGGTGCGCAGCTGGTCGTGTTTGCTCGCCTTCCATAGGTCCCTGCATTTGAGCCCTGTATGGCACTGCTTACTTGTTTACCTCTTCTGCACTGTAGTATTTAGTTCTTACTTCTGTCCTCATGTTTCCTGGTGGAGATTTGTGGGTGGCCGCAGAGGCACTTTATTGTGGTGCCTGTGGGACCGCTGTGCGTGCTCCTGGGGCTGGTGGCACACCAGACGGGTCTCACATCGCCAGTGGCCAGCCATGACCAGGAGGGGTGTCCGACACGAGCCTGCCGTGCGTCCCTGTGGGCCATTCGGAAATGTCGCTTCCTTCGCTCAGCACGTGCTGCGGCGTTTGATCGTGTGGCATGGATCCAGCCGCCTCATCTTAGAGCAACTTAAATATTCTCGTTGCAGCTTTGCTAAACCACTGTAGCTTTGGCTGCCGTGCTTTGGCTGCCGTGCTTTGGCTGCAACTTTATATTAATAAGGAATGATAACGCCCTTTAAACCATTTAGTATTTTCTTAAACAGTTGGTCCATGGATGCCTGGTAATCACTGTCTTGTCACATTGCACTGCAGCATTTCCAGTCTCTTAATTTGTGTTTCAAACAAGTGGTGGCCTTTTCACCTAGCACTGGTTTCTGAGAAGTTTGAAGGGGAGGCTTGCGCCAGAATGTGGTCCATGGGAGAGTTCTTGGAACTCAAGGCAATTTCTGTGTCCCAGCTTCTTTATAGAAGGCTGCTCTTGTCCCTGTCATGAGCGTAAAGCTCGAAAACAGTTTCTACATGTGGAAGAGCAGAGAAGAGTGGGGTTTCTTTGTGTGTTTTTTTGTTTTGTGGTTTTGTGTTGGTTTGGTTTTGGTTTTTGGTTAGGGATTCCCCCTATAGAAAGACAGCCAGGACAATTAGGAAACCCTGAAGACATTATCAAGGGAAAGTGATAGGAAAGATGTTTCAGGAGGCATTTGAATGGCTACCGAGTCTCTAGCTATAAATGAAGTGGGTCAAATACAGTATTCCAAGGGTGGCTTTGTGAGTAAAACGCTGGCTTGCGATGATTTCTTCCTTTGCTCTAGGTTTTCTCTGTGACTTGGGGGAAGTGGCTGCAGTGCAGATTTTCGAACTGGAGTGTGTGACTCAAGTTTTAAGCACTTTTCTATTTTTTGCATTCTTCAAGTCATATCTGGGGATGAGACTGAAGATGCCGAGCTACGTGAAGTGATGTGTATATAATGGAGAGTATTCTGAGTCTGTGCCCCTTCCTAGAAATGTTGCTTTTAACGAATTGGCATTGAAATTGTGTTTATATGGGCTGAATCTGGAGGAAAGCCCTTTTTTCCACTGTGGCATCTAACTGGAAAATTTGGATATAGTTTGCTGTCAGCAGCAAGTAGTTGCTGCAATTAGAGACAGGTTGTTAAAGGAAAGCAAACAAGTGGTTGCACATGATACCCCGTTAGCAAGGAGCAACGAGCAGGATTTTTGTGTTCTGGGGTGGGTTTGGGAGTTTTGCTCCTGGGGAAGGAGGAACAGAGAGAGCTTGATGGGGAAGGACTGGCAACAGCAGAAGCTGATGCCTGGTCAGGAGACATGCTTCCTCTGACATCTGCAAGGTACTGCCTTGCCAGAAATTTAAGCTCATCCCAGGCCAGGGCATGTCATGGCAGAAAATTTAAAGTTATTTGAACATTGCTAACCTGTTTTTGTCTTTTTCATTTTGTTCCTCTTTGCTTCATCCTGGATGTCTAAAAGGACAGTTGGAACCAATAAATGAGGTGAGTTAATCTGATGATTCACTCTCCGCTCTGTCTCCTCTCTCCATCCTGAGGGGATTGTCTCGTATTTTCTGACTCTTTACTGATGTCCTAGATATAAGTAATGCACCGCATTCTGGGCTGGTAGGTGTGTTTTTGGGTTTTGTTTTTTTTTTTTTTTTCAATGTTCAGATTTTGTTTGTGGAAAAACTGTGTGTTTTACTGGAGCAAAAAGAAATATTTCTGTAGTCTTCTCTGCAGGTCTGCGTTCCTCAGAGGAAACCCCTCTGCATGATGTGATAGTTCCCTTGTGTCCGCACGCTCGTGAATACTGCAAATGTCTCTAGTATTTTGGGGGGATATCTATGGAGAAATTCTCACATGCTTTATTTGTTCAGCTTCTTAGGGACATTTCAAGGTCACATACAATAGTAAAGCGATTTGACCTTGGATGTGCACGTGCTGTGCTCTGCCAGCTGCGTGTCTCCCCCCCCCCCCAAAGGGCCACGGAGCGCAGCCCTTTTTTTTGGTCTACGGAGCGATGCCCTTTATTAGCAGTGCCCTTGTGCTGCTTAATGAGCCTTCTTACAAACCGCAGAAGTTGGAGCTGGTATGGGTGGCAAATGGGCTAAGGTTTGGCTTGCTGCTCCTCCTGAAGCAACCAGAGCTCGGAAGTGGAGGGGAGGCTGTGGGGATAGCATGGAAATGGGGCAGCAGCCTGTTGCCCCTCCGACGGGGTGCTCGCACCCCGTGGTTGTAACAGCAGAGGAGCGCTGTTACAGGTGACGCTTCCAGTGCCACCATGGAAACCTAAGAAACAAAATAGTTTTCTGGGTCAAGTAACTTCTTTACAAAAAAACAAACAACACTGAAGGTTCTTCCTTAAATTAATCATCACAGCAGAGGGGAGGCGTGTGGACAGCATGCTTCAGCTAGTCCATTTCAGTGGCAAGTTTGTCGGGTTGTAATGTTGCATGTGTATGGATCATACAAATATTATGTGTGCATACATCTACAGGGACAAAATGTGTTCACATTGCTGTGTTAAGATTTTCAGATTAAATAGACCCTTGCTGGATTAAATGGGAGCTTTCACTTACCTTCTGTTTTTAATTCCTTCTGTTGTGCATTTGCCGATCTATTAGTTTGTTGATGTGCGTGACAGAGTAAGCATGTTTCCACTCTAGCATATTGCTATGCCACAGTGTTTTGTAAATCACCCTCTCACCAACCTACATAATAATACATCGCTACTAGAGGGAAAATACCTGGGGTGAATGCTTATTTTCCTGCCTTGTTATGGCATCAGTGAAGTTGGGCTGGTAACTGCATAGCACTTGTCTGTTGATATAGATGGAATAAATATAGTTCTTAATGTTCTGTTGCACAAACACAAACATAAATACAGCTGAATGTTATTTCTCAATAGCTATTGATGGGTTGTAATCTTGTACTTTGGTTTCCAATGGCTTCAGGGTCTGCTCGCTAGAATCTCGGATCTCTTGCTGTGCCGGTGGACTTGTAGAAATTGTTGTCAGAAGTGTTTCGACTGTAGCTGTTGTCAAACAAATGAAGATGAAGTTGAAATCCTGGGACCTTTTCCTGCTCAAACTCCAGCCTGGCTGTAAGTTTAGATGCACAATTTCATAGTTTTAACTGAGGAGTAGAGCTGTTCAGATGTCATCAGAGTATTGATATGAAATGACGATAGGGCGTTGAGAGGATGCCACACAGAAAGGAGGAACCTCTTGCTGAGGGTGGAAACATAGGCTTCTCAGTGACAAGGTGAAAAAGGACAGCCCTGTTAGCTCAGATAGTAAGGTTAGTCTTTGTAAAACACTTTCCTGATGAGTAAGACAGAAGCTATTTTGTAAGCTAGCATAGCAAGGTGATAACTGGCTTAGCTGCCCATCGTTTTATAAAGGTGCTCTTCATCTTCAGTCTTGTTTCCTCTTCAGATGGACCAACCCTTTGGAGCACTTCAACTTAGCTGAAATCCTGAGGAGGTTGTTTTGAAACATTTCCTTATCTTAGTGTGAAGGTGGTTATCATCTAGGCAGATGAAAGGCGTACCTTGTGCATGCTGTAAATGGAAAATTCATCTGAAGTCTCATTTAGCAAGACTTGATCTCCTGCGTCATCTTAGCACTCTTCAAGATTGCCTCTTCAATCATTAAAGAACAACAGCAGCAATGCTGGGTTTTACATGGGGCTTTGATTAGTGTTTTTGCAAATCTATTACAAACACAGTCAGTGAAATCTTCCCTGTTTTACTCACTCTTGTTTGGGAATTTGCAGCACGGAGGTGACCCCGTGGAGGCATTAGTGAAACCAAGAAGGGAGCAGAGGTCTCCTGCCTATTAGTGGCTGCTCTGTCGGCTGGGCTGGGCTGTCTTCTGGAAGGGCAGGTCACTTCATGGACACAGCTTCGGTGTGTCCGGAAGCTGTGGCACAGGAGATTCCTATTTAGTGCATCATATGATGCTCAGAAGTTGGTACCTAGGCACCGAGACACTCATTAGTTTTATCTACTCCTGAGAGCACCTGCTGGTACTCTGTGTCAGGTTTGGAAGGTCCCTGTCTTGCTGCGTGAAATAAATTGTCTCATGTTTAAATCGCAGTCTTGTCTATATACTCTTTTGAATCCAGGTAGAATAGGATGGTAATTAATACTGAAGCATAAAAATAGGAATGTTCAAGATGTGTTAGAGTGGTTTTTAAATGTGGAGCAGCATATTTAAGAGTCTGATATATGCCCAGAAATGGATTCACCTGCAATTAATGGGAAATGGAAACAAAATCAATGTTAAATAGGAAAGTATTGCGCACAGGAGAACACGGTGATGAGGCTGCAGTATTGGACATAGAACGATTACTGCAGGAACAATTACATACTTGGGAACAAGTAGCTAGGCTTGTTGTGAGAGGATGCTTCGGAGTTTCTCTGACGTGCTGAGGAACAGAAGGGACATCGTGTGTGTTTGGGGGTGTAAGGTGATTGTCCCATGGTGTAGTTTTTGGCTGCTGGATCTTTCTGTCTGACTAAAGGGGCACTGTAAGCATTGAAGCTCTGTTCTTATTTTGATCTCAAAACTCGTATGTGTGGTGACTTTGCAGATGAGCTGGACTTTGCCACAGGCAGAGAACGTGGAGACCTTTGGACTCATAAAAAGCTCTCTGCAGCCTGTGTTGTTTTCCCCCAGTTTTGCTCCACCTGAAAGCCTCTGCAATTAACTTATTGGAATGGCCATAAGCAGAAGACAACGTGCTCTGGAAAAAAAAAACAAACCCACGCAGTTCTTCAACCATGTTGTGCTTTATGCTGCACCTACTCATGCTAGCAGCCCTGGGTAGGGTCCCTAGGACCCCAGCCTAGGTCATATATCCATCTTTCCTTCCAGCTTCAGATAATCTGATGCAGTTAGGGTCTCCCTGTTCTGGTCTAGTGCTGGGAGAAGATGAGCTCCCAGAGGTAATGCCCAAGAGGGGCAGCAGCCGCCAACGAAGAGGACACACGGGAGAAGTACCTTTGCTTTGCGAGGATGCTGCCATGCCTTAGGATCACTGAAGTCACCATCTCCTCTGGCACTGCTGCAGATCCTGTGGTCTCTAAGGATGTCTGTTAACACATGTTGGTGTGGAAGCTGGAGATCAGGCTTTGCTTTCTTGAAAAGGCTGTTGGCTCCTCATCTTGAGCTGAGTTGGACCCAGGGTAGTACCAAGGAAGGTGGCGATGCTTTAAGCTTCCAGGATGACTTTGCTGGAAACAGGTGAGGGAACCTGGAAAGGAGTCGAGTGAGGAGGGCGAAGAGAGCAGAGGAGACATGGAGAGGAAAAGGAGCCCAGGGGATGTCACTGAGAGGAGAGGGGGAGAAAACGAGCCTGTAGAGGAACAAGAGTCTGGAAGACAAAGAGGAAAAAGGAGTAAAAGGCAGGAGACAGAAATGGTGTATTTTGTTTGCTGATCAATAGAAGGGCCCTGGTTTTTGTGTGTGCAGGTTTAAGGTGGAAACAATCCCATGCAGCCTCTGCTGGCTCAGAATTCAAAAGCTGAAGAAGATTTCTGTTTTCACTGTGTTGATCTTACACTATTAAATCTCCCTATGCGTTTTTGGAGGTAGGAAATAATGTCTGGAGTTAGATGTGTGAGCAGAGTAAGAGTTTGGAATTGGTCTCAGAATAAGGTGTTTAATGGATATTTTATTTTTGAAAAGGGGGCTTCTGGATTCAGTGGAAACCCCTGAAATGTAAGACGGATTTGACACCACCATATTCTGCATTTAGATGCGTGCATTGAATGTGGGAACAAATCAATTTATCATATTCCCTGCTTGCAGCCTGAAAGTGTTTTAAAAATAGATCTAGGTTTTCCGCTGAGTCTCAACAGTTCTTTGTGGACCCAGGACGCTGGTGTAGTGCAGAATGCAATTTGCTCCTTACTTGCCTCCCCACCCAGTCCCCAGGGGAAAACTGCTTTTATGCTCCTCATTGGCCTACTAGCAAACATCTGAATGCCCATGCTTAACAATCCATCCTTTACTTTTTGCCTGTAGGTTTTCCCTTTGGCAGCTCTGAGACACCTCATTGTCCTGGAAATTCAGGAGGGGGACGTTAAAGCTGCAAGTTTAAGCCTTTCCTCTTGGGAGACTGTTGATTTTTCTCCCTTTCTGAAGTTTTACAATGGCAACTTAGGAAAAAAATTCATACTGAAGTGAATCTAATTGTATTGACCTGAAGGTGTGATAGCCTCTTGTTATCTCGGGAGGAGCGCTTGCATCTTGGTCTGTGCAGAAATGGGCTGGGAATGAGGGTGTATGGTGGAGCTGCCTGTTAGGGAATATTCTACATAAACCCCAAAGATAAACAGTGAATGGTCCATTAGACTGAATTGAAATCAGGATGCGGCTCCTCTTCCCAAAGGTTCGGATTAAACAGAAACAGAGCTGCTTTAACCAGAGCCAAAGTTTATATGAGGAAAAATTATTGTGCCTCAGTAGCAATTTCCTTACTAAAGGTCATCTGTATGTTATTAACTTGCTATTACGTTTACCCATTGTAGAACATCCTTAATGCCTCTCTTCCTGATTCCCTTTTCACCTTGCCTTCTCCTCGTTCTGTGCATTTGCTTCTCAAACACAAGTATATCCAAATGCTGAATGATTGTGTAGACCCGCATTTAGGCATGAAAAAGCTGTTTGTGTTCCAACTACTGATTATATGTCAAACCGCATGATTTGGACTGCCTTTAATGGGCTGCAGAGTTGTGCAAATATTGTATGCCCCTGTTAGAGTAAGATTTGGTTTTGATTATTAGCAGACGTTTTTTTAGTGTGAATGAGTTGTGTGACTCTGAATTGGTGAGATTTGCGTGGAGCTTGCTGTGAACTTTGTGGCTTTGGATAAGAATTTCCAGTTTAAATCTGTTTTATGTTTGGGGGGCCTTTTCTGTGAGTTTACTGGTTTTTCAGGATATGTTTATTGCTCTACTCCAGTCATTGGTTACTAAAGCAAATGATTCAACGTATTTCATTTATACCCAACTGAGCCATGCAGGTCGAAAGGGTGAATCAGGAGCAGAACTCACACAGTAGTTGCCTCTGCTTTGCTCATTTAATGCTGACACTTTCCCTGTGATCTGCTGCTATTTTTTGGAGTATGCTGTCTGGTGGATTAACCGAAGGGCTTATTTTGCCTGATGCACTAGATGTCATGTACCGTTGTGGGATCTCATTTCCATTGGCAGCCACTCCCCTCTGAATGGGCAGTTGGAGACTTTATTTCCTGTAGTTGTTCCTGTCTTGTTCTGCTCTTGTTCTGCTCTTGTTCTTCTTTCAGGCAAGGCTGGGAGGTCCTGACTGCTTTTATGAGCCCCTGCAGCTGTGACACATTGAGGGTTTTAACCAGAGTGTTGTTTTATGTGAAAACAACATAAACACACACACACACGTGTGTGTGAACAAACTGAAAAGGGGATTACATGTGGACTTCTTCGTGATGCCGGTCATCTGTTGAGTCTTCTCAGAGATGCTACAGCTTGAAACTTGCTTTGTTACTTAAATCCTGCCAATTTCCCTGCTCCCACCAAGACCCCTGGACAGTAAAATTACTGTCTGGTGAGAATCCACTTCTATAAACCAGAAGTGATAAAAAGCAGCCAGTTATTTAAAAAGGCATGTCAGTAAATAGCTCTTAATGAATTGTATTTATAAGATCAAGTTTTGGAACCTTAGTGGTGTACCTGCAAAGCAATATTTTACTGAGAGGTGTGTGGTAGGTTTGAGATGTCTGAGCACAGTGGTTTCCCATGCTGGTGCATTCCTGGTGAAGTCTGTGCTTCGAAAGTGTAACTGTGAATTTACAGCAGTAAGCTGCTGTTTGGGTTTTGTGGTTTGTGGGGTTTTGTTTTTTCTTTCTTTTCTGATCAAGATCTGAGTCACATGTGCCCATGTGGCCTGTGTCGTGCTCTAATACTGATATAACTCTGTTTGAAAGACAGGCAGAAAGATAAAGAATCTGGTTTTTACATAGGTCTGAAGTTGGTTGCTTGGCCTTTTGCTTGCCAGATAGATCAGGAGATACCCCGCAGCATCCAGGGAAGTGCGCCCAAGATTAGACCCAGAATATCGGAATGCATTTTTATTCTGTATATACTCCTTTGCTGGGTTGAATCACCCAAAGGTCTCTTGTTATGACAGGATAAGCAGCCAAAATGAGGACAAAGATGGAGACGCTGATAATACAATCACTGAGCTGCCTCCCACTCTTCAGGATGTTTCCCCTGACAGAAGGCGGTCGTCTTCAGATGCATCACGGTCCACTTACAGCCTCACGAGGCGGATTTCAAGTAAGGTCGTCCTTCCGACATTAATGTAATTCTTGTGGGGAGGAAAATCAAACTGTAGTGCTTGCTCTTTCATATTTTAGACAGGGAATCAAGTCAGGTTGAAGGTACATTGATTAAAATCTCATCCTGTTCTGCAGGAGCACAGTGGAAGGGGCCAGCCCTGTTTTTCTTGCTGGAGCATGTGCATGGTAATTGCATGTGAAAAGGGACAGGTGTGGAAAAGTGTAGCTGAGCTCGCACTTCGGCATAACCAAGGGTGTTATTTATTGTTGGCAATGCAATGGTGATAAGTCCCACTGGGGAGCCTGCTGTGCTGGGCATCGCACAGGCACAGAATAGCTGTGCCCAAAGAAGCACAACTGGACTTGCGCCTGTAATGGCTTCGGTTGAGTTTCTAATGATTGTGTTTGTGCGTTTCTCTCATTTAGGTTTAGAGTCGAGGAGGCCAAGTTCTCCATTAATTGACATTAAACCTATCGAGTTTGGAATAATAGGAGCTAAGAAAGAAATAGTTCAACCAACTATCTTACGAAAAACGTATACCCCAGATGACTATTTTAGAAAATTTGAACCAAGACTGTACTCTCTTGACTCAAATAGCGATGATATGGACTCCTTGACAGATGAGGAGATCTTATCGAAGTATCAGCTGGGCATGCTGCATTTTAGCACTCAGTATGACCTGTTGCATAATTATTTAATAGTGCGAGTCATTGAGGCTAAAGATATGCCTCCTCCAATTTCTTACGATGGCTCAAGGCAAGACATGGCTCACTCCAACCCCTACGTGAAGATCTGCCTTCTTCCTGATCAGAAGAACTCCAAGCAGACCGGAGTGAAACGCAAAACGCAGAACCCGGTGTTTGAAGAGAGGTACACATTTGAAATCCCCTTTTTAGAAGCCCAGAGAAGAACTCTGCTTTTAACTGTAGTGGATTTTGACAAATTCTCACGCCATTGTGTTATTGGCAAAGTGTCAATGCCCTTGAGCGATGTAGACCTTGTGAAAGGCGGACACTGGTGGAAAGCCCTTTTGCCTAGTTCTCAGGTAACAGAATTTATAAGATTATTGCCACAGTTTTTCTCGCTGTTTTTTTGTGCAGTTCCTTTGCTTGTTGGCAAGTAGCACGGTTTCCAATTAGTCATTGTCATCTTGTTAATACAGCATCTGCTGGGTTGAAATAATGTGGGCCTATGACTGGTCTTGTAACTAATACTGTGAGATAGAGGGGCTGTCTTTCATATTCAAAGGAGGTGACATGACAGGAGATTCTATGTCAGCTTTACTGAGAACAACTCAAGACTGCTTTGGGAGTCTGCACCTTTTGGAAGATCTTTGTTGTCAGTGCAGTGACCTGCATCCATTCCCAGACACTGCAGTGACGTGGTCCCATCTGGGTCGCTCCTGTGGTTGTTAACATGACTGTGCTTTCGGAATGTGAGGGGAGCCACTGGTGCCAGTTCAGTAATGGTGTGATTCGATAAAGTGTAGAGAAGACAAAACCTCTACAGACTTGTGGTGTAATGCATGCGTGAAAAATTGCAAGGTAGTGGTAGATTTATTTTCATCGTGTCCCTGAAGGAAAAAAAACTTGCCATAGATTTTTGTCTGATGTAAGTGGCACGTTGCATGCATGCAAGTTTGAGCGTGCGTTTAGGACTAAATTCAACGGTCCAGCGGAATGGGAAGAGAAGATGCAGAGGGTCTGTGTGGCTTCCATGTCTGTTCTCAGGAAAGGTCCCTGGTGTTCTTGCCAGCCAGGAAAAGAGCTGTTCAGTGGGAAGGTCTGGGCTTTGCAATCAGGAGCGGTGGTTAGCTACCAAATTTGCTACTAGCAGTATCACTCATGTAGTTAGAGGCACAGGACCCCATAAAAAGCCAAGTTAAGAGCGTAGTATGAGCAGTATCTCAAAGGTTTGTGCTAAGGACAGGAGTAACATTCAAGGTTGGTAGAACAGGATTGCCTCTTCCAGTTGCTTGCCAGCTCTGGAGTTGCAATTTCTAAGTTTTAGAGCCTTTGCTGAATGAAAACACTGTGTGAACTTGGATTGTTCCCGTTTTCTTTGATTTTTATGTGTTCACAAAAGGGAGGCATAGCCAGTGGTGTTAGACAAGATGAATAGTAAATCATTGACCTCAGCGCTGATTTACGGTGTGGGTCTGAGAGTCTGATATGGAGTGGAAGCTTGTGATCAGACACTTGTGGAAGTAAAATCCACCGAGCAGTGTTTATACGTGAAGCCAGCTGGGCCTCTGACCCTGCTTTGCCCCCTCTGTGTGTGCAGAGGGGCTGCGAGCGCTTGTACCTGTTGCTCAGACCTTCTGCAGTGTGTAAGGGGGGAGAAGATCGAGACCCCTGGTAACTGCAGGAGAGCCCACTAGATTTGCTGTAATAGAAGTAGGAGCGTTACAGGATTAGCCGGAACAATGTTCAGGCAAAAAGGAAAGTTTTGGAAGTCGAGCACAAATCAAAATCTTGGGGTCCCTGTGCGTGGACATGTCTTTGTGTCAGTGGGATCTGCTTGGCTCCGTAGAGTGGCAGCAGGGGGTGAGGGGACAGCTGTGTTACGAAGCCGTTCATAAGGCAAATGAACAAAGACAGATATGCCTGGGCTCCCCTCACTGCCTGGGCCTTTTCCCTAAATGTTTATTTACAAATGCCTGCAACAATTTATTGGGGTTTTTTGTGTTAGTGGTTCATCATGGGCTCAGTGTTGTGTATCTGAGGACAGAGCTCTCCTCTTTGCATCCCATTATCCTCCCGTGATTCACGACATGCAGCCTTGCTCCCCCCCCCTTCTGCATGATAAATACTTCTCTGTATTATGTATCTCTTCATTAGTAACATGGATTCATTCCACAGTTAATACAGACCTTGATTAGAGAAGATCGTCTCTGCCTTCGTTTGCCAAGCTCCGAGCCTGCCCTTCCTCCCCCCACTTCAAAGTTTCGTTGAAAGCTGCTGCTGTTTCAGCAGTGCTGTCTGCTTCACCAGGATTCAAGATAAATTATTGATGCAGAAATTGGCATTTCTGATACTTATGAAAGGGAGGAGAAAAAGAGAAAACTCCATTTGAATGAGCAGACCTAACCTTACAAGCCTTTTGCATTTATCTGCTTGCTATCATGTGGAAAAACTTAATTTAAGCAAGACGTCCTTTGCACCTGGATTAGTAAAGTATCTTGTTTTGGTCTTTTCATACTTCCGTGTTCTTTTTACTTTAGCTGGCAGACTGCAGCTGCAAAGAGAACGACAGTACTTGTACTGGGACATCCAGGGAGGATGTTTGGCATCATGTTCCCGTGTTTTCTCAGATTTTTAAAGTTCATTGAATAAACTGTATTTTATCTTGGTGGCGATTAAAGTTAAATTCGGTAATCAAAGGGTTAAAATAGATCCTGGAAGAAGTAAAACAATAAAGCTTATTACTTGGAAAAACTGCATTTTAATGTCTTTCAATAACGGTGATGCCTGTGCTAGGCATTTGTGAGGGTTTTTTGATTGCTAGTTGGAAGATTCTGCCTGTGGAAAGACAGATTTGACATCTTGACAATTTTTTTTATACTTCTCACTTTTTGCTTGGTTTTGTTGAGGGACACACAGCCTCTATTAGTTTCCTGCTGGATTGAACTGGAGTCTGCTGAAGTGTACTTTGTGTTGTGACATCGTGATAGACGGGGACAAAAAAATCTACGTGCAAAATTTTATTTTGCAGAAGGCATCCTCAGATTCTGGAGAGCAGCGCAAAGCCACCACAGTGCAGTTCTGATTGTTAGTGGATGACAGTTTGCCAGGCTGGGTTGGCTGCCCGGGGCTCTGACAGACCCCCCCCCCAGCCATAAAGATCATGGTGGAGAAAATGCTGAAGCAGTAACAGGAGGGAGAGAAAAAATAGACAGTCATAGACGTGATATGTAAAGATGCAAGACACAAAATATGTGATTTTTTTTTTTTTTTTACTGGCATTTATAGACAGAAACACGATGAGCTGGAGAGATGGAGGAAAGTGAATCCAGATGGCAGGACTGTGGAGAAGGTTTTGTCTTCGCACCGGTGGGAGTGGGATGGGGCAAGGTTTGTGGAAGAGCAGAGAAAGTGGCCTAAATGGTATCAGCTGAGGTGAACATCTGGTTTGCATTTTCTGTATCTGCCTGGAAGCCATTGCCAGAGTGTGCTGATGAAGTCAGGTTCTTTGTCCCACCATCACGCTGAGCACCGTCATGCCCAGAGCTGGGACGCTGCCTCAGTGCAGGACTGTGCCGGCACAGGTGAGCTCTGCTAGAACAGATGGGGGATGCCAGCAATCTTTTGTTGCGTGCAGTGTCGGCAGGGACGGGTGGGTTTGTCCCAGGCTGAGACATGGTCCAGCTTCTGCAGCCAACAATTCCATTGACTCCACTGTGAGCTGGACCAGGATAAGCTCCTTAACTCTGTGGATGGGACGTACAGCTCTGCAGTGGGTGAAAGCCCATTGTCATTAATAAGCAGAGTATCTTCATTACGACCTGATGGAGTTGCTTGTTAACTGACAGCCTGAGAACTTACCTTGGGTGTAACGAGGCAGGCTGTGCAGCATTGCTGTGGTCATTATGTCAGAAGTGGGTCATCAGAGAACCTGGGTATGGGTGAGCAGCGTGCTGTCCTCTCAGCCTTGAGGAATCAGTGCAATAAACCACTTGATGCTCAGCTGCAGGCAAAAGGCTGTACCTGTACATGAGTGCTTTTTTAGTTTGGATCATGCATTGAGCACTTAGGGGGATTGAGTCCAAAGCACAGGGGAGCTGCCATCCAATGTATCACCAGAGCCAGGAACTAAGCAGAAGGGCTTATTCTGTGTAGAAAATATCAGTGCAGGTATAGCCAAATTCTTTATCCTTGGTAGTTCTGGGAGGCTTTTTTTTGCAGGGTAATTAATGTGTTTCTAAAGTGCGGTAGCTGCACTTGGAGTAGCTCTTGAGTCCAGTCCCCATAGGAACACTCTGCGCTCTTTAAATATCCCCTTAAATGTATGTGGCTTTGCTTAATTACCATGAATGAAGTTGGCAGGCCTTGCTGTAGCTGGGCTCAGATTCACACATTTTGCTGTCAAGACTAATTCTGAAACACATGTTCAGGACCCCAAGTTTTATTGACATATGATTCATTTCTCTTTTGGCAGATTTGAGTGGGTAGGAATAAATGTTTTAGACCAGCAGTAATGAGAGCTTAGAGATCATTCCACAAAAGAAAAAAAATTTCCTGGTCGTGGTGGGAAAATAACATAAAAATTCCTTCTCCCTTCAAATTAAGACATTTTTATAGTAGAAGGAGTATGTATTGGACTTACTTTTTTAACTTTGTGCTGTGAGTGCACTAGACAGTCATTTAAGGAGCTGTCAGCTTTTTACATTCAAAATAGTATGTGCTTCACAAATGGAGTGGCTTTGCTATGGCAGCTCTCTGCAATTTTTGATTCCCGTCTTGGGATAAGCCTACAACAGGTACTGCACTGTTATGCTTACCGTGCCTTGATTGGGAAGAAAAGGGAGAAAGGGATTTGAGATTCAGGTAATGCCTCGTTTTGGAGCGTTCGTTGGGTGCTCCGTTGAATTCTGCCATGCCGCTGGGTGCCTGTGGTGCGCGGCTTGGAGGCCTCCCGTTGTGCGTGTACCAGGTTTGCTCTTGGCGCCTGTGCTCCTTGGCTTATCCGTTGCAGCCCCGAGAAGGAGCTATCCTTGAGGGGATGTGGATGATGCCTTGCATTTGGTAGCACAGTGTATTATTGAAAATAATGGCAGCACCCATCTCTCGTACAGGTGTAAAGTGTTGGACAGACAGAGAGTTGGTTCAGAGAGCTGGCACAACAGTTGACTCAAGGCTGTGTGCATCACTGTGGAACCATGTTCGTCGCAGTCCATGTTCGTGACAGGCACAGGAAATTAAATATGAAAGTGAAAGTTCTCAGACCTTTTTCCTTTTCAATTTTTTTTTTAGCTGTCCAAAAGCTTAGCGGTTGCTTAATTAAAGGAATGATGCAGGATCACTGATGATGAACGTGGATTGGTTA